TTGGTATTATAGGTACTTTTTATCTATAAAGAAAATTGTACGCATGTTAGGTTGGATTCTTAGGTTTTATTTTAAATTACGAAGAATTGCAAACGAAACCTCCAAAATTTTGTCAGTTTCGGAAATTGAAAGAGTTGAGATAGCTCGTTTAATATGTTATTATGAGATAGCTCTTTCATATGTCATTGTTTCAAAGAGAATCATTTAAGGGAGTGTACGATGATAAAATTAAAGACGTCAGACCTATAGTTGATCGTGATGGACAAATGAGACTTCTTCTCATAAAAACAGAGACTTCTGAGTTTTTAAGATCAGTACAAAGACTGTACAGACTTGAGCTGGATAATCCAGTCCAAAAGAATATGACTGAAAATATTCCTATGACTATCAGCAGTGGTAGAACTGTGAAACTAGTGATACATCTGTTAAATGTTTTGTATTTGTTTGAATACATCGTAACCATTTGATTTATTTTTTATTTTTTTAAGTTTAGTATTATTTGTTAGCATGTCTAGAAAATTATGGAATGCTGCATTTTCAGGTAATTTGTATGTAATTTTGTACAGCTCCTTTGGTAATTGTCAATGCGCATGCGCTATCTGAGTCTAGGAAAATGTATGTTTTAAGAGAACGAGTTTTCGTCAGGCATGTTGGTGCGCGCTTTTGCTATGTAAATAAAGTATATTTTTGTAGTACAGATGTTCTTTACTCTTTAATGGGAAGCACTAGGTTAGTGCACGAATCTCAACTGATTCATAATACATTTTTAAAACGTGCATCACCACACCTAACTCATTTACATGCAACTCGATACTAAAAACTCTGTCTGGTAGGGAGTTGTAAGTGGGAAGCAGAAATTTAAACGAAAGGGTTTCAAAATTAAAAATAACTGTTATAAAATTAAAATAACCCTTACAAGACGAAGTGTCATTTAAAACAAACTATGAAATTATTTCTTTAAAAGCTGAGGACTTGGGGTTGTTAACTAGAACTGAAAGATTTTTATGAATGTGAAACGCCTCTAGAAAATCTAATTCTCCAAAAGAAAGATTTTTTAAAAAATATTGGATTTTCCGAGCAACAATTTTCAGCAACAGAGGATTTATGTGTTTCTCCTTCCTGAACATATGTCTAATATTCCTTAGCAGGAAATTTTAAGTCTCTCTTAGTTTGACCAATGTAAATTAAACCGCATTTGAAAAGTATACTGTATATACCCCAATAATCTATTCTCGGAATAGGATCCTTAAATATAGAACTACGAATTTTATTGACAGTAGAGAAAACGAAGAGGAAAGAAGTCGAAATATCTGTAAAATATGTGCAATTTTACAGCTAATCAATTGAAAGAAAGGTACGGCAACAGAATTCTTATAATCTCCTAAAACGAGTGGATGTTTTTTGATGTACTGAGATCAGAATTTTTCTAACTCCTGGTCATTAAAGGTTAGGTGAAATGCCTTTGTCAAAAGCAACGGCTTTTAATTAATCTAGTTCTTGATCAGGAGCCGATTTAGACGAGAAAACTTCGTACGAAAATCTTCCTTATTTTTGTGTTTATCTTATCGCTGGATCTTATCACTGACTTCTTGTTCGTCTTTTGCACTTGACCAGTTGAAGAAGAAGGTTCCAAATTTAAACCTTTGAAACTAGTCTTGCAAATTTATGAATATTAAGCTGATTCTTGTTGCACTCCCAATAACAGCCATAGTTTCTTCTATTATTTTTTTCTTGAGCACTTTCAGGAAAATCTCTAAGAATCAACAGTTAACAGAAATTCAAAATTAATTAAGACATTCTCAATGAAATCTAGAATCTGTTGTCATAAATCGTTTAAGTTCATCAGTCACATAAGTTCAAATGTAATTCAATAAAATTTTCAAATATTTTCGTGTCTTTTGAGATGAATCATTCAGGATATCTCATACGATGAAATTCAAGTCAGATTTAAAATATTTTCATGAATTTTAGAGTCTCTTGAGATAAATGTATCTCCCGCTCATGTAGAATAATGGAAGCTGTTATTCCAATTGAGTGTTTTCTCGTATTAGCATTTTAATGTCGGTAAACATAGGAAATCTGGAAATCAAAATATCAAACACAATATGTAAAATGACAAATTAAAAAAAATCACCTTACTGGTTACAACATAATGATCGTCTCTAAATCATATACAGATTCTCTCTAAATAATAGTTAGGGTATGCTCTTGTAGTTTTTATTTATTAACGCACGTGCGTATCTAGAAGAATTTAAATTTTGAGTAATTTTGTTTATTTCATGTGAATGTAAGGACAATTTTTCATGCAAGTACAATTTTATCATAAAAGTCCAAAAGTTTCATATTTTTCTTTAAAGATTTAATTAATTTTTTATTAGCTCCTCATATGATCAGCTTAAGTACATATGTAAACTTTTAAGAGTCTTAGAATAATTGGAAGTAATGTTATCTCAAGTTAACCTTTCAGAGGTCACAAATTCCTGTTGAGAAGTTTAAGAGTTGTATTTCTTCTCTTCAAAGCATTCGAAAAAAATATCTATCTGGATTAGCGTTGAGTAAATTTTTTGTCGAGTCCCTAAGTTAGTTTTTCTTGTAACAATGGCTTTATAGATACAGCAAAACCTCGGTTTACGAACTTGATTCGTTCCTGAAAGCCATTCTTCACCCGAAATGTTCGTAAGGCGAAACAATATCCCCCATAGCAATTAATATAAAATGGATTAATTCATTCCTGCACCCCATGCGCTTGCTTATTTAAACTTTACAACAGCATTTCGTGCAACAAGCTTATAACCCAAAACCAATAAAAATAATTAAATATAACAAAATAAATACAATATGAAACACATAACTTGCACGAAAACGTAATTTAATTTTACTGTATTTGTACAAGAAGCGTGTACGATGAGAACGACTTAAATCTTCACTGTAACTTCTCCTGCCCTTGGTCCTCATTAAGATGCAAATTAAGTTGTAAGAATTATTTAAGTACAGGGTTTTGAATATTTTGGGTATACAGCTTTTAGCAGCTTGATCTGCAGTTTACGTTTTATCGCCCAGATGTACCAGTGAATATTTTGCTAGCAAACGTCAAAATGCGCCATTAAACTTTTGAGTCAGCTTTTTTTTTTTTTTTTTTTTTTTTTTTTTAAGTAGACTAATTTTAGTAGTCTTCGACTACTATACCTTGAATTTGAAATTTCGACTTATGTTATTTAAAATACCTGAGTTATTTAAAACTTGCTTAAGACTTCATCATAATATTTTAGATGGAGCGGTCACTCAGTCACATGAGGACACATAAAAAAAATCTGATGTGTACACCACATGACTTCCTTGTACGGAATATTAAATTATACGCATTTTTTTTTTTTTTTTTTTTTTTTTCATTTCATTTAAACTTATTGGGTTCAATTAAATCTACTTCGCCGACAGCGCATAAACCACAATAGAATAAATGCATTCTTTAAAATTCACTCTAGTATTTGTTCACCATAGCGACACTCTGGCGCTAGATTCACTTAACAGTATTATATTCGATCATATTATAAACTCATAATGCACAAAATTTATATCATTTAAGAATAGAATTATCTAACCGTTGCCTCATCTTCTATTCAAATACTATATTATAGTATTGAATAGTATTGAAGCTAGAATGATGTATAAAAGAAATTAAGCAAACAAAACAAAAAAGAAACAGTTTTTCACAGACGATTGAGTATTTCTCATTCAATTAATTCAGTTCTCACTTCGCGAGAAGACAAAAATACGTAAAAACTCGAAATATCTATATTAAAAATTACGAAGTAAATCTTAAACATTTATTTCCTTGAAAAAATTCCAGAAAGGATTAAGCATGATTTAATTGGCAATAATAAATGAAGGCGTTATCTTTGTTGTTGCGATGCTAAGTTTCTCTAGATTGGCAACAAATCCACTAGTCTGCTGTTTCAAATGTAAACAAGCAATGGCCGCCATAAAAAAAGGCTTAGCGGCAGTTAGACAACTTTAAAATTGTTGATAATTCTAAAAATGTTGCATACAGATTTACTAAAGGCATAAAAACCTTTACCGGAAAATAAACACAACATAATTCAAAAATTTTTAAAGCAAAAAATGTACAATTTACAAACATATACGAGTAAAGAAACTGAAATCACTGAGCCGGGTAACAGCGTGGATATATATATAAATATATTTATATACGTTTGGTGCGGCCGATTGCAACCAAAATACGAGGTACACATATACATGTTACAGCAGTCCTATATACAAAATTTCAACGTTTTGAGGCTACTCGTTTTTGAGTTATGCGAGACACGTACGTACATACATTCGTTTAGACGAAAAATTCTCTTCAGAATTCATTTTAAAGCAGTTTTATAATTTTTTTGGAGGAAACGAGTCTTTTATTCTGTCCTTACGTACAAATATCACGCAAAAACATCGTTAAACTGCATTCGATAGCGGTCAAAATGGATATTTTCGTTGAAATATGCTGCCTGAAACTTTTCGCGATTACAATACTTCCTTTTTACTTCGTACAAGGAAGTAAAAAAAAAAGGAAAAGGACCTTATAGGGTCAGGAAAACTGCCCTATAAGGATTCTTTTTATTTTTTATTTTATTTTACTTTTTTTTTTTTTTTTTTTTTTTAAGTAATGGCCGACTGGCAACTTGACGACAGGCCATCAATATGAAGCAGTCCCAAATTATAACACATACAGGGCCGGATTTACGTAAAAACTACGCAAGCTTATAGTATAAATAGTATTAAAATTTATTGTAACAGACTTATAAAGGGCCCCATATCTCAAATAGCTTAGGGCCTTATCAACTCTAAATCTGGCTCTGAACAGATATAGTGAACTTCGGCCGTAGTTGCACTTAAAGAATACAAAAGATTGCTAAATGAATATTTCAAATGCCTCTCAATACTTATTAACACAATAAGATATCACAATTTACATATTTCCAAAGTTTACGAAAGAATCTTACCTGGATGGAACTTTGACGAACATGAAATCGTCGCAGTCTCAATACGTTATCGAAAGCCCCATCTTCAATTTTTTCTGTGGCAGGATCATCCAGATACAGTCGAAATACAATGAGTCCCTCCATACTCCTAGGCGGTAAAACTCTGAGGTTTTCGGCTGTAATTTCATAAGTCGTATTCACTTCAAATATCGAACCATCTCTTAACGCCCTCGAAAAAAATTCAAAGCTACTTACATTTTTGCAAATGATTCCAGCCACAACTTCATAGTCATAACAAAAACAGCCCTTTAGTATCCTTTCACACTTTTCCGTTGGAAAGGATTCATCCATGGGTTCCAGTCCAGATTCTGGATAGTCAGACTCTGCATGATCAGCACGCACAGAAAACATAAATATTGACAATATTGCAAAGATACTGACTAAAACTTCCATTGATCATCCAACTGGTCAAATAAAGAAATAAAATTCCATTTATTGCTAGATCGTCGGGAGTATTTATTCATTTCTTTCAGAAAAAAACTGATACTCGTTTTTCTCATTACGTAAAACAAGAAATCACTAGTGAAGTATCCATTTCGAAGTAAAAACTGTATATCCTCTAACTGAAATTCTTCTATTCCATGTGCGTAATAGTTTCTGAAAGAGTTTTGGGAAGAATAACTTTGACGAGAGCGCTCAAAAATTCGTCTGAGTCTCGGAGTATAAAAATTCTCATTGCGCATGTCCTGAATTTTCATCCGAATAGACGAAGTAGCAGGTGGAGGTCGCTCGCCTCGTGAGGGAAATTGCCCAACGAATGTTGACGTCACTTTTTGGAAGATTTCTATTTTATTTACTTCCTACATGATTATGGATGCGAATGTTGCGATAAAAGTTTTCCGGGTATGTTAGCTGTGAGGCATTGCTGCCAAATATTATATATGTAAAATGCAACAGTGAAAAACGAAAATTTTCATTTGTATGTGGCATATTTAACGCCAAACCGTTTCTTACATTTAAAATTTACGTTCTAATTACTGAATCTTTAAATACCTTCTAGAGTCATCAGATTATTTTGGAGCAGGAGATGTGTAAAATGAGAAGTGCCCTTGGCCAATATTCAAACTTTGGCCCCCCGAATACTCGCCGAGTGTGCTACAGTTACACCTCAGATGTGTGTGGAAAGGAGGGAAAAAAAACACCTTATATACTTCCCCTTGACCCAATCGCTAAATCCTGGTGGTGAAGAATTATCGTCCTCCAATTTTTAGTTCGATCGCCACTTTAGAGGCATTCAGAATTTTTGATGCTGAAGTCGTGAAAAACGTGCACTGCCCTCGCCGGGACTCGAACTCTGGACCTCTCGAATACGCGTCGAATATGCTTCCTTTAACACCACGGAGGCACGCGGAAAGGTTGGAGAAAATACCTTATAACCTTCAAATAATCAAAATTTATGATTACAGAAATATCATTGTTAAATTTAAGTGTAAAATTTTCATGAATGCTATAAGTTTTAATTCCTTTACTACCTGAAAGCGTTACTGTTTTCATTTCTTTCAAACTGCATTCGATTCATAAAATTACAACAAATTGCTGTTGCCAATCAGCGTGACATAAAATATTTAACTTCTGAATTGTTAAAAAAACGAATACTAATAAATGTAACAAAATGAATAATTCCGAAACTTTAGCTTTACAAGTTTCATTAATATGTTGCACTCTCAGTGTAAGTAAGAAAAGGCATTTGTAAAGCCCTATGTTCCGCTAATAAACTTTTGCGGAGCAAAATTTTGCTATTTTTTTCTTTTCTTTATAATTGTCTTTTCTTAATTGCCCTCTCTGTGTAATTAAGAACATTTCTAACGTCCTAAGCTCTGTTAATATTTTTTTCTCATTCTCCTGCCCTAAATTTTCGAATTCACGCGGTTCTTATTTCTGCTGTCAATTGGTTCTTAATTCAGATTATTACTTTTAAGATGTCGAAATTCTGAATTCATAGTCATTCTGTTTAAACCATTGAGACATTCACTATTTGTTGGAGTAGGAGGAAAGGTACCGAGATGACTCGCTAAAATTGCAATTAAACAAACTCAACTAAATAGAATGTCTCGTAGCACACAAAATTTTATCCCTAACACAGATGAGACAACGAATAATGAGGATGTTTTGTCTACAGTTTGTGCCTCTCGATTCCAACGCAAAAGTAATCAAAGTGGTCACATTTTGTTATGTACTGCATTAACTAAGGTTCAAAATTCTGAACAACAGTGTGTGAAGTGTAGATGTTGATACAACACTGGATGCCAGAAATCATTTATTTCATGAGAATGTGTGAAGAAGGTAGAATTACGAGTAAAAGATATATCCATTTCTGTGTCATGTTTTGGAAAATTTAATGCTTAAATAATGCACTCGATTTATTATTGACTTCTCACTTTAAAAGTGATATTAGAGTATCAGCATCAGTATTTGTAATGAATTAAGGCGATAGATATTATTATTCCCTATGGACCTTTACCTACAATTATTTTCAATAACTTCAGTAATTTAAAGTTAGTTGATCCATTATTTTTGCAAGTCACAACCAACTGACATTTTTTTTTTTTTTTGAATAAATGTTTTTCTGCGACGGAAAACAAATTGTCAGACGTGTCTCAAATCTTTTATTCGCGCTAAATTCGAACATTGGAAGGATAATTTCAGGTACTACAAATTTTGAGTCGCAAACAACTGATTACTGATGCACAAACTGACTGATTACAACAAATAACAAGTTAGTAAATTCCTTCTGGAAGTCGAAAAAAATTTCAAATGACCTTTAACAGATGAAGAACTTCCTGAAGAACATTTTAGAGACAAAACAGGCCCTTATTCAGTTATAAGGTATTTCTCCCCCCTTCTTAGCGTACCTTCGTGGTGTAGTCGTCAGCCCGCTCGGCGCGTATTCGAGAAATCCGTGGTTCGATTCCCGGCGACGGCACTGCTCCTTCTTCGAAATAATCTAATGTCTCTACAGTGGCGCCCGAACTAAAACAGGTGGTGGATGATGATTCTTTACCACTAGGATTTGGCGATTAGCTCCCCTAATCCCCAGTTGCCCTTTGAAAGGGAGAGTATATAAGATATTTCTCCCGCCTTCGTGGTGCAGTGGTCAGCACGCTCGGCACGTATTCGAGGGGTCCGTGATTCGATTCCCGGAGAGGGCATTGCTCATTTTTCACGTCTCCTGCTTCGAAATAACCTAATCTCTCTGCATGCAAATGTTGAGTTCTCGACAAATGGCGCACAGAAGATTTCTATATCACTTTTTATTGAATGAATCTAGCTTAACTACAGAATTGGGGGTAGTTTTTGGTACGAGTGCTAAGACGACCACAGATACTTCTTTAAGCGTTACATTAATGAAAAGCCCCAAAACAGAAGATGATCTAATTTGTATTTCACTAAGATTTAGACTTTATATTGCAATAACGGTTAATATACATTCATTAAAAAGCACAGGACTTTCATAGAATATTATGCACTGAAAGACCAGATGGACAAATACAAGTTTGTAGTTAAAACGCTGTCAGATATGGAATTGGTGCTGCTTCATAGCTTGAAATTAAAGTTTTGAGTCAGTTAGCGACTGTTGAAGGACTAAAATTTACAGAATGTAGTTTTAGATTTTACGTTGATGATGCAATAATTGGAGAGTATATTTCGGAAGGTACTGCATTGATAAACAGAGCTTCTGAAATCCAGTTCATCTTACCAGTTGAGAACTGGGAGTCAACTTGACGAAAAAGAAAATCTTCATGATTGTGCTTCGCATGGGTTATTTCCTGCTGAACTACTATCTTAGGAATTTTGCTGAAATGCCCTTCAATGGTTAAAGTGCAATGAGGTACCCGTATCTAAGCATTTTCTGAAACTGTAAAGAAACTTACTTATATACTAAACATATCCTCAATTTCGAAGTTACAACGCATATTTACTTTGATATTAATATTCAAATCAAATTCAAATGTAACACATTTAAAAAGACACATATTCTTTTATCTAGTAACGAAAGCGGGCTTCAACACTGTATTTTTCGAATAATGCTATGACTGAACTTCAGTAAATAAATTCAGTGTTTGGAATGGAAAAAAGGTTTTTCTGGAAACTGCAGTCTCCCTAGTTTGTGTCTCTTTTTCATTATAACAAAGTGTTAGGTATAGAAAAAAGACGACTGAGAAATGCACTACTATCGGAGAATGAAACACATCTTATTACATTCAAAATACAATTTAACAAATTAATTAGATACTTTCATGAAAAGTATCTGCATGCAGCATCAGAACTCGTTCTTTCTCTAATTAGACAGCAATTCTGTATCTTAACTGCTAGATCTCTTATTAGAAAATCGGCAAAGAGTTTGTCTTACGTGTTGCAAACATAGAGGTGAAACGGCAAGTCAAACCTACCAACACCTAGAATGTCATAATTAAGACTATCTCATCGAGCTGCAGTAGATTTTTCAGGACCGTTTATGATCAAACATTATGCAGGACGTGGACAAAAATCATTCAAATTTTATGAGTGTTTATTTGCGTGCTTTTCAATCAAAGAAATCTTGAAATTGTAGATCTTTCAACAAAGGCAGTTTTAAGTACGATTCATTTCAAGAAGACTATTAATTGAGACTTACAGTGACAGCGGAACTAACTTTGAAGAAGATACTTTGAAGATAAGTTTGAATCCTCAAGATAGAGATTATTTGAGGTTCTTGTGGTATGAAGATGGCGATCCAAATAACTTAATGAGCTATAGACATTGCAGAGTACCATTTGGAGTAAACTTCAAGCCCCTTTTTATTAGGTGCTACTATAGCATATTACTTGGATAATGTGGAGGAGGAAGCTCAAGAAACGGCCAGAAAATTGAAAGAATCATTTTACGTCGATAATTGCGTGACCAGTTTCGACAGTTTTGAAGAAGTTGAGAAGTTATGAATTTGGCAAAACGGATAATGTCAGATGCTAAATTTGAGCTTCGGGACTGGCAGTACAATACACCTGAAAAAAAAAAAAAAGATCCTGGATTATTCTCAAAAACTGAACCTTCTTTAAAGGCAAGCGAAAATACAACAAATAACAAATTGTATCTCTGTTTTGGGCCTTGGGACGTAAAGGAAGTTACTCTCAGCTGTGGCACAAAAATATTTCCTGCTCAAGAAGTGCCATTAGTAACGAAAAAGTAACGAAAAGGAAAATTTTACTTAGCACAAGCGATTTTCGATCCCATTGGATTCTCTTGTCCTTTGACACTACTGCCGAAATTATTATTACAAGAGTGTTGCAGATCAAAATTCTCGTGGGATCAAGAAGTGCCAGAGAAGATTTCGAAGAAGTTTAATTTATGCCATAGTCAAATTCTTGAATTGAACGATATTAAAATTCCTCGTTGTATTGCGAAACGCTCTCAAAGTTATGAACTTGATAAATGGAGTCTGCATGTATTCTGTGATGCCAGCAAAATGACCTATGCAACATGCATATTAATAAGAATAGAAAATAATGAAGGCGCACATTATCAGTTAGTGCAAACTAAGTCCAGAATAGCTCTAATGAGGGTGACAACAATACCTCGCTTAGAATTATTAACTTGCCTAATTGGTGTTCGACTAGCTGCAGTGGCAAGAACAGACTTACATCTAACAGATTTTAAAACTTTCCAATCAAGTAAACGAAATTAGAAAACTAAGTAGCAGAAATGATTGGTATCACATTCCAGGTTCACAGAACCCAGCAGATATATCAAGAGGATGTACGGTACGACAATTAGTGAAGGCTCAGTGGTGGAACGAGCCAGAATGGCTGAAAGGAAACTTAAGGATTGACACTTATTATGAATTAGTGCAACCCAACGAATCTGTAATAAATTCGGAGAAAACAAAATGTGCCATGACAGCTACCAAATTTATAAATACAAGGGATTTACTCTACAACAGATATTCTTCTTATAAAAAGATAGTAGAGATGATAGCTTGGATAAAACGATTCGGCAAAAATGTCAAAAATTTACCTAAAGATCATATTTTCGGTAACATTACTTTTGCAGAATATGCAGAAATAGAAAATATTCTTTTAAAATTAAT